AGTTGAGAATCCAACTCGGAGCCGAACAGAAGAGCACACGTCGATTTCCCTCGGACCAAAACTTGGTCATTGCTCCACACAATTATTTTGCTACCAAAATTTGTAATTTTAATTAGTATAATATAATAGAAATTAAAATAATTTTAATGTAATTTCGGTTACCTCAACCGGTCGCTTGCCAAGAACGATCGAATGGCTGCAACATCCTCTTCCGGGACATCCGCAAGTCCACAGAAATCGTTTCTGCCCCTGTATTGATCCACAGAAGAATCCTCATCGTCGTCACTCTTGTCACTCTCCTACATTACATTACAAAATAATTAGTTAGTTATATGAAAACAACACGAACAATCACATAAATTACAAAAATAAAATTGCTAGTTTAATTACCTCATCATCAACCAACATCACCAACTGCGATTTTTTTTTCTTTCTTCTGCCTCTTCGGACCGGATGACGGAGGGGTCATAAAATCAGCCGCCTTGCCCTTCTTCTTCCTGCCGACCCTCTCCCGGACCCTCTTCACCATTGAAGAGGGTTTTTCCTCCATCCTCGAACAAGCCGATTCCTCCCCCAAACCAGCATCCTTCAGCACAGGGTTTACCAGTCGATCCAAGTCTTCAAACTCATTCACAACAGCTTGAGGATCAACCACCATGAGAGCCCATTGTTTTTCCTTCTCTTTTTCATCCACATCTTCTTCTTCGACATGTTCTTCCTCCTTTTTTTCCTCCTCCTCTTTTTGCTCCTCTTTTTCCTCATCTTTTTCATCCTCTTTTTCATCCTCTTTTTCCTCCTCTTTTTATTCCTCCTTCTCCTCTTTTTATTCCTCCCTCTCCTTTTTTTGCTCAGCAAAAACACCACCATCAGCCTCTTTTTGCTCAGCAAAAACACCAACATCAGTAAAAACACCACCATCAACCTCTTCTTCCTCACTTTTTTTCCCTCTTTCTTCCTCTCTATCTTTTTCTTCGGTATTTCTTTCTCTTCACTGAGACTCCAACAGTTGAATTTTTTTTTTAAATTTATCATTTTCATGACAAACGATGGCATACAGTTTGGTCTCAAACGTTCCCTGAAAGAAAAAAAAAAAATAAAGGAAAACATAAATTAAAGTAATACTTGTACCTATGAAAATATACTAATGCTAAAACATAAATTCTCGGCAAAAATTAAAGTAAAACCTGGGCTTCCACAAAGGCACGCTCCTCTGAAACAAGCGATAACGAATAAACCTGCAAAGCAAATCATAATGATGTAAGTACAATATCGATTAACCAAAAAAATAAAAAGAAGAAGTAGAAAACACATAATAACATAAAATTATATAAATTTTCTTATGCCTCATTATTTTTTTAAGGAACTTTAAAGACCCTTCAAATGTAGACGGCATTGTGCTCCCCGTCCATCGAAATAGACGGGGAATCGTTTCGAGCCTGGAACATTTGCCCAGAGAAGGCACACGCTCGTACAACCAAGCCTACACACATACACATGATTTCAAAATTACACAATCTCACAATTTAATATTATTGTATTAAGACATCGAAACGGTTATATACATACCATCAGCCCCACGACACATCCATCAAAGTAAGATCGTTCTCTAGATTCACCATGGCGAACAAGCTTTTCAAGCAAGAATTTATGAGTAGCATCTCACCATTTCGACTCACATCCTCCAGGTAAGGGTAAACAAACCTGGGGATGGAATAACTCGAACAAGGAAACAAAATGCAACTAAAAACGAGCAAACTATACATCCTGATGAAGTCATCTACACGACCTTCATCAACAGCAAACTTCTCTAACAGATCTACGACATTCTTTCTTTTCAACAGTTTTTTATCTACTCGACCCCAGCCGTCGAATAAGGCTTACAACTCTAAAGAAAGGTCTAAGTCTACGCTTAGACTCCCCTGTCGTAGCCCCATAGTTATACAAAACTCGGAGGGGTCGAAATTAAGAAACAAATTATCACCTACAACAAAAGCATTCAAGTCCACCCTATATGTGCTAACTAGAGCCTCGACTCTACTATGCAAAACAGCTACATCGGGCATTTTCACAAAAAAATAAAAAGGGCTCCGTTGAAGAGCCTCTTTGTGCTTGTCCGAAAGCACATCAGTAGTTCTGTCCATCATATCTTTGAAATATGATGGGGCACACCTGCATCTTAGTTCGGTGCCCTATCACAAACAAAGAGAATTGTGAGGAAAAGATGTTATATGTACAACATACATTCAATACAAGACCTCTGCTCCCTAGAACACATATCAGACTATCAACACTAAACAAACTAAAACCACAAAAAAACATCAAAACAAAAGAAAAAAAAAATACCAACACTAGTACATAATTCTCCTCCTTCTTAGCCTGTTCCTGAATCAAACCACAGAAATCAAACCACACAAATACCACATAAATTCTCCTCCTTTCTTTATACAGAAAAGCCCTAATTTCGAATTCACACAAATTCACAGAAATTCAATAATTTCGAATTCACAGAAATACACAAAAATTCAATTACACAAAAGACCCTAATTTCGAATTCAAGCCCTAATTTGAAAAAAAACCCTCATTTTCAAATTCTCAGAAATTCAAAAAATTCACAAAAAATCAATAATTCCGAATTCAAAGAAGTTCACAAGAATTCAATTACACACAAAGACCCTAATTTCGAATTCAAGCCCTAAATTAAAAAAAACCCTAATTTTCGAATTCAACCTCTAATTCACAGAAATTCAATCATTTCGAATTCAAAGAAAGTCACAAAAATTCAATTACACACAAAGACCCTAATTTCGAATTCAAGTCCTAAATTGAAAAAAAAATAAAACCTAATTTTGAATTCAACCCCTAAATTGAAAAAAAAACCCTAAAATTAGGAACAAAACCCAAAAATCAGAAATTACCTTTGAGCTTGGTAATGCCTTCGTTGGTGTCGAGGAGGACGGTTTGCATGGTGATTTCTTTTTCGAGCCAGCCATTGTGAAAGCTTCACAGAGAGAAGGACGACGAGTGACAGAGAGAGAGACGAAGATGGCGGGCGACGGTTTTGAACGAACAGAGAGAGAGAGAGAGAGAGCAGAGATGGCGACGAACGAACAAAGAGAAAGAGAGCAGAGTGGCGACGAGAATTCGAAGAGAGAGAGAGAGAGAGAGAGCAGAGATCGACGGTTGATAGTGAGAGAAGAGAACGGCGAGGAGAGAGAAAAGTCTTACAAAAATGAATTCAGGCAAAAATTAAATCAATAATAAAATACTTACCTTATATATGGGGAGTGAAATGGAAAATGCAAATTAGGGGTAGGAAATGCAGATGACATTTTTCAAAGAAGGGACTGAATTGAAAAATGAAAGTGTGAAGGGGGCTTTAACTCGAAATTTCCGAAAAATTTATTGAATTGAGTTAAATCAATCCAATTTCACCTCATCCGTCCCGAATAATCAATCGAGTTTGGTGGTGCATAGGGATACGGTGGAGACTCTCGCAGCGTGTGATTGAGGAGGGAGGACCCACGTTGCTAATAATATAAACAAATAAATATACTTCACACCATTGTTATTTGCCAGATGCAGTGCAGGCTGCAGCCTTTCACTCTACTTTTTTCTATCTCACTCAAATCACTCATCAGTGTCACTCTCTCTTCTCTTAATTTGGCAAAAAATAAATCCTACTCCTCTTTCCTCCATTTTCCCAACATTTTTCTCTAGCTCCCTCTCTCTCTCTCTCTCTGCCTCAGGGTAAGCTATCTACAGCTCTCTCTCTCTTCCATTCTCTCTGTCACACACACACACATTTCCTTCTATATTAGGTATTTTTTTCTACTTTTTCTTTACCTGCCACTGTTTTGTCGGTTTTGTTGTTTTTCCTTTTGGTTTGCTTTGATAAATGGAGCCTGGACTGGTTATTAACTAACACCTCTGGTGCTGGAATGACTGATTAAAATGATCCATAGTAATAAATGAGGCTGCCTTTGGATAAGTGAGGTAAAAGAACAAAAGAATATGTGAGCGAGAGAAAGAAAAACGTTCCTTTTCGTATTGTTGAAACAACAGATTTTCATTTTCATTTTATATAAGGGATTGCTATGAACTCTGTGTTTTTCGGCTTTGGAAATTGAGGACACAAGATGCTCTCTCTGTTTACTCTGCCATTTTTAGCTCTATCTTTTATTTGGTGCAATTTTTTTGAGATGTGAGGTGTTTCCACGTCATTGTAGGATGGGTCGTGGAGGGATATGTTTCTTTTTTTCCTTTCTCTCCTCTTTTTGTGGTTTTGATTTGCCTCAGAGAAGAAATGACATTCTGTAAGGGGAACTTTTTTCCCATGTTTTTCTAATTTTTTAACTTTCCCATCAACTGCCATTGTTATTCTTTTATTTATTTCTTTTTCTTGTTTATTAAAAAGTTTGCAATGAGACTCCCTGTAGTGAATTGTAGCCGTGTGCTGTTATGGATAGCATTGAAACCAGAAGAACTCTTTTGAGTTGATTTTTCTTTTCGGTTTAATATAGATGTTGAAAGTGACGTTGTGGCTGGGTCTTTTGCTTTTTTCGTATTATATTAATAATAATTGCCGCCATAGAGATCTTCTTTTGTTCTCTCATGTTTTCTTGCTATTTGTTTGGATTTAACAGTTAGTTAGTTTATATTTTTCGGTTTTCTGATCTGCTGAGGAGAGTACAAGTTTGTTTTATTTTCTTCTCTTTCACCAGAACATAATAAACAGATTTTCTACCTTGAAATTTCCTTATTTATTTATTATTGACGACCTACTCCAAACTGCCATATGGTACCACTTCTGGGTCTGTCTTCTAGTTTTGATTTATCAAATCTTAAGTTTTCTTAATTGACTTATGGAGGCTTTACTTGTTTTTGCTTGCTACGAGTGAATTTGGGTGACTAGGTTATTCAGTAATCTGAACCTTTACATTTGTTACTATGTTCATTTTCCTCTTCGTCATTTCTTTAATTCTTCAAAAATGTGTTTGCAGATTCTCCATGGGGTGATTACTTCCGTGTATTTTCACGGTACTGTTTGTGATAGTTTCTTGAAAAAATAAGGATTGTTTATTTATTTGGTCAATATAAAAATTTTGTGCCCCAAGAGGGCTCATTTATTGGGAATTGCTTCATCAATTTATTTTCTTCCTTTGCATATTTTTAGTGGTTCTGATTTTAAACTTTTCTACTCTGTGTAAAAGTGCGTCTGCTTTTGCTGAGATGGATTGGAATTCAAAGTGGGATTGGTTTGGTTCGAAAGCTATTGAAATGACCAAAAACCCACAATTAATGGACTGGAAGATCGTTGACGATGATGATGGTGGATTGTTCAATCTCTCAACCATTTCTTCTACTAAAAGCCCAATCTCTGCTTCCACCAACTCCTCTGTGAAAGACACACCCAACTTTGAGCTCACAGCATTCGAAGGCGTTTCTGGAAATCGCTTTAGAAAGATGGAATTTGAAGAAGCTAAGGTCTCTCTAACTGCCGAACCATTGATCGGATTGAAGCTCGGAAAACGAACCTACTTCGAGAACAAAGTTTGTGTGATGCCTACACCGCCATCCACTTTGTTGAAAAAGACTAAGTCAGCTGGTCAAAACATCTCGAACCCAAACTGTGTTGTTCAGGGCTGTAATGCTGACCTGTCGACCGAGAAAGAGTATCACAGGAAGCATAGAGTGTGTGACAGCCATTCCAAATGTCCCAAAGTCATTGTTGGAGGCTTAGAACGCCGGTTTTGCCAGCAGTGCAGCAGGTACTGTATGTTGTTATGTAGGCCTATGCCTTTTGGATGTTCTGAAGTTTTTTCTCAAGATTTTGATGCTCGTTTCTGTTCCAAGGTTCCATAGTTTATCCGAATTTGACGAGAAAAAGCGCAGTTGTCGGAAAAGGCTTTCTGATCATAATGCACGACGTCGGAAGCCCCAGCGCAAAATCATCGAGTTTAGTTCAGCAAGCCTCTCTTCGCCATTTAATGGTAAAAAAGTCTCTACAGAATGTTTTACGGTGTGATGGATTATCAATGTGGAAAACTAAAAAAGGGTGTAACATACAGAATGTGCACGTTTTATTTTTTCCAACTTAAATCCAGATTTTACCTGAATAATTAACTTCATCGGATATTTAATTGCTGAACATTCAAGTGCACTCTTCAGTAAAAATAGGTGGTTTGGCTTGCTCAATATTTGGACCATTTTTATGTTTGTTTTCTATCTCTAAAGTTATTGTAGTGAAATGGGGATAAATGACATATTAGATGTTTCACATTTTTAAGTTCAGAAGATCAAGGGTGGGAGAAAAACATATAAACCACCATCAGTAGGAAAGTGTTGATTTTTGTCTGTGAAAACTGTTGTGACACAGGTCTTTATTTTATTGTCAGGCTAAACCGTTTTACTGTCTTGTAAGTGTTGCCTTGTCCATTGTTTATCCTTTAACACAGACATTTTTCTGTTTATTGCCCACCGAATATAGATTTTAAAAACATTGATGATTCTACTGCTTAATCTCTTTTACTTGAGCAGGCGGGAGGCAGCAATTGAATTATCTGCTAAACAATGCCCCACTTATTTGTCCTAGAAATTCTGCCTACATCTCAAGGGATACCACGCATAACCCCAAGTTCACCTTAACAAAAGGGTATTATTCAAAGTCTACCCAAGACGGATATTCAAAGTCTACTCGAGATGGAGGCATCGACAATCCAGTGCACATGTCGGGAATTAAAATGCCACATGCCATTAATATGCACAGTACTGAGCAACTTTTGGCATCCATGAACTCTGTACCCAAGGTGTCAATTTCAGGTCAGTGTTACTACTTAAATATTGTCATCATTACTCAAAAGAACTTTCTGTAGAATTTTTTTTTGGGGTTATCGCATGAATGTTGCAACACGTGACTAATAGACTTGGGACTAGTTATGGTCAATAAGGAAAATTGCTGCATGTTATTGTGATGGTTCTAGAACTTCCAAACCTCGCAGGCTATCCTACACACGCACATAGTTAAATGTCAAATTGTATGTGTGGCAATTGCACGCCATTAGGCAAGTCCTGTAGGCTGTAGTTGAACAATTACTCATTTTTTTAGTTGGGAGCAACTGTTGTTAGGTTGTCTTGGATCCAAATTAGCCTGTTGTTGATTTTCTTCTTGTGCTCATAATCCATGAGTTCTCTTGCTTTGATTTAGGAAATTGATTCAAATAACTATGATCATAAATAAGAAAAAACAGAGTGAATCTATAATGCATTGTGATAATATGTAGATTAATATGTGAATACTTGGTGTATAAGTAATTTCCTTATTTGTACATAATTAGGGTTATTGTAACAACTTAGGCGATGCCTATATATTGAGAATTCATGAAGAGTCCTTTGAGGACATTCACACAAATAACATGGTATCAGAGAGAGAGATTCCTTAAACCTAAAAATCTCTTCCGCTGCCTTCTCGTTCTTTTTCTTCTCTATCCCTACCATGGCTGAAAAATCCTCTTCCTCCCCTCTTCATCCAGCACAGACGGTGCACAACATAAAAAATTTGGTCCCATTAACTCTTGATCTCCAAAGGGTTCAATATCACACTTGGGCGGAATTATTCCAGATTGCTGCTCGTGCCCATAATGTCATGGATCACATTGATGATCCAGAAAATACCCCTCCAGATCCTGATGTTTCCAAAACCAAATGGCAGCAATTAGATGCTGTAGTCCTCTCATGGATTTATGGTTCTATCTCTGAAGATCTTCTTCTTACCGTTATACAACCAGGCTCTACTGCGCGCGAAGCTTGGTTACGAGTTAAAAATCTCTTCCATGACAACAAAAGTGCGCGGGCTGCAGATCTTCAGACTCAATTCAATCATATCAACTTGGAGAATTTTCCAAATGTCACAGCATACTGCCAACAACTTAAGATGCTTGCAGATCAACTCAAAGATGTCGGCGAAACAGTTAGTGATCAACGTTTGGTCCTCCAACTGATTAATGGTCTCACGTCAACCTTTGATACCGTGGGTAGCATCATCAGCCAGATGACTCCTCTTCCATCTTTCTTGTCTGCTCGAAGTATGCTTGTCAGAGAAGAAACTCGCCGCAATAGATCTTCTGAAAATTCCAGTCAAACTGCACTCTCGGCTACAGGCTCCACTGCTCGAGCAAATTCTGTGTCTTCTCCGACCGACTCCTCTACAGCTGCCACCAATAACAACGGCCGCCCGCCCAATAATGGTCGTAACTCTAATCGTCGGCGCAATAATCGCAACAATCGGGGCAATTCTTTTCCGCAGCAATATGCCCAGTCTTCTCCTCATTCTCCACAAGGCTACCAAGCTCAACCTTATGCACCTCCATGGGCTGGACCATGGACTAACTCTTGGGCTGTGCCGCCATGTCCTTATCCTACTGTTGCCCCTCGACCCTATAATAACTCGGGTTTACTTGGTCCTGCTCCCCGTGGCTCTCCTGCTGCTCCAACTGCTCAGGCATACTCAGTGGACTCCACTCCCACTGACCTCCACCATGCCTTCTCTACGATGAATCTACAACCACCAGATGATTCGTGGTATATGGACACAGGTGCCTCTTCTCACATGGCTGCTCAATCGGGTAAGTTGCATACAGTTTTTAATTCAAGTTCAATTCCTCATGTTTTGGTTGGAAATGGTTCCTCAATTCCTGTTCAAGGATCCGGCATAGCACATCTTACTCCTAACCTCTCATTGTCCAATGTCCTTCTTACCCCACACATTATCAAAAACCTTGTCTCCGTACGAAAATTTACTTGTGATAATAATGTGTCTGTTGAATTTGACCCCTTTGGTTTTTCCGTGAAGGATCTTCGAACGGGGGGTACCATCATGCGATGCAATAGTTCGGGGGACCTCTATCCAGTTACTAAATCTATCAAGTCTAATCCTTTATCTCTTGCTGTCATCTCCCCTCCACAGTTATGGCATCATCGTTTGGGCCACCCTGGAAAGCATGTGACTAATTTCTTGAGCAAAAATAAATTCATCCCGTGTAATAAGGAGAATAGCTCCAATTTATGTCATTCTTGTGAGATTGCAAAACACAAACGTTTGCCATTTTCTATGTCTACATCTGTTACTTACTCTGCTTTTGATATTATCCATAGTGATTTGTGGACTTCTCCTGTTCTAAGTGTCCAAGGTCATCGTTATTACCTCGTATTTCTTGACGACTTTACAAATTATGTCTGGGTGTACCCTCTTAAACACAAGTCCGACGCTTACTCTAAGTTTCTTCACTTTCATACTCTTATCAAAACTCAGTTTGAAAAAGAAATAAAAACCTTTCAATGTGATATGGGTCGCGAATTTGATAATACACTTTTTCGCACATTTTGTACTAAACATGGCATGCAACTTCGTTTTTCTTGCCCCCACACTTCTTCACAAAATGGAAAAGCTGAAAGAATCATCCGTACTCTCAACGACGTCACTCGCACCCTTCTCACTCATTCTTCCATGCCCCCCTCATATTGGGTTGAGGCTCTTCTTATGGCCTCTTATCTCCATAATATTCTTCCTACTTCTACTTTGTCCTTTGGCACTCCCACGTATTCTCTTTATGCTCGTATGCCATCGTACAATCATCTTCGAGTCTTTGGGTGTTTGTGTTTCCCAAACCTTAGTGCTACTATGAATCACAAACTCTCGCCTAGGTCTACTCCGTGTGTTTTCATTGGGTTTCCACTTAATCATCGCGGCTATGCTTGTCTCGAATTGGCGACTAAAAAAATAATAATTTCTCGCCATGTTACATTTGATGAGTCTGTCTTCCCCTTTTCTAATGTCCCGTCACCTTCCTCTTCCTCATATGATTTCCTCACAGATGCGCCCTTGCATCCCCTCATCGTTGAGCGCTCCATGGCCCCTCAATCTCATCCATCGCCATTACCTACGCGGCTTACACAACCCTCAACCGTAATCGAGACTATCCCATTCAACGAGCACCCACCATCTCGGTTTGGCCTCGTGTATTCTCGCCACCGAAAAGTTCCATCCCCAGAACTACCACCCCCTGCCCCTCCATCACCACCTCGACACACCATGACTACTCGTTCACAACTTGGTACTCGAAAACCCAAAGTGCCATTTACCCTGCTTGCTCAAAGTCCTAATATTTCCCCTCTCCCCAAGTCCCACATTAGTGCTATGCAGGATCCGAATTGGAAAGAGGCAATGAATGAGGAATATCGAGCTTTAATAAAAAATTGTACTTGGGAACTTGTTCCTCGCCCCCCGAATGTGAATATTGTACGTAGCATGTGGCTGTTCAAACATAAATTTAATTCTGATGGCTCACTACAAAGACACAAAGCTCGTTTAGTCGCCAATGGTCGTTCACAACAGGTTGGGCTGGATTGCGATGAGACTTTTAGCCCCGTCGTGAAACCAGCAACTATTCGGACTGTGCTCAGTTTGGCTCTTTCTTTTTCATGGCCTATTCACCAACTTGATGTCCAGAACGCGTTTCTTCATGGGGATCTGAAGGAAACCGTGTATATGCACCAACCTCCGGGTTTTGTTGACTCATCTGTTCCTGGCCACGTATGCCGCTTACGCAAGTCCCTCTATGGATTGAAGCAGGCTCCACGAGCTTGGTATCATCGGTTTGCTACATATATACTCCAGTTGGGTTTCTTTTGCAGTAAGAATGATACTTCTCTATTTATATATAAACGAGGGGGTGACACTGCTTATCTTCTTCTTTATGTAGACGATATTGTTTTGACGGCATCTTCCACCAGTTTTCTCAAGCATCTCATCAATCTCCTTAATGTTGAGTTTGCTATGTCCGACTTGGGATCCCTTAGCTATTTCTTGGGTATTTCAGTTCGCCATACTCCTGATGCTATGTTTCTCTCTCAAAGAAATTATGCTGAAGAGATTTTGGCTCGAGCTAGCATGAGCACTTGCAAACCTGTTAATACTCCTGTTGACACCAAGGCTAAGCTTAGCGCAAATGAGGGCTCTCCAGTGTCCGACCCTACATTATACCGTAAGCTGGCAGGTGCACTCCAATATTTGACCTTCACTCGGCCAGACATAAGCTATGCTGTTCAGCAAATATGTCTGTTTATGCATGCCCCTCGTGAGTCTCACCTCACAGCAATGAAGCGTATTCTTCGCTACATTCGGGGAACTCTTGACTATGGTTTACACCTTCGCGCCTCCCCCATCACTGGATTGATTGCGTACTCGGATGCTGATTGGGGTGGATGCCCAGACACTCGTCGTTCCACTTCCGGGTACTGCGTGTTTTTGGGAGATAATCTCATTTCTTGGTCCTCTAAGCGCCAGCCCACCCTCTCTCGTTCGAGTGCTGAAGCTGAGTATCGAGGAGTTGCCAATGCTGTTGCAGAGACTTCTTGGTTACGAAATTTACTGCTTGAGCTTTACTGTCCTCTTCAACTAGCAACTATTGTTTATTGTGACAATATTAGTGCGGTTTACCTCTCTTCGAATCCGGTGCAACACCAACGCACTAAACATGTGGAAATGGATATTCATTTTGTCCGGGAAAAAGTTGCTATTGGTCATGTTCGAATCCTTCATGTTCCATCCACCTCCCAGTACGCCGACATTTTCACCAAGGGTCTCCCTTCCTCTTTATTTTTGGAGTTCCGCTCCAGTCTTAGCGTTCGCCCTTCTCCCGCTGTGACTGCGGGGGTGTGATAATATGTAGATTAATATGTGAATACTTGGTGTATAAGTAATTTCCTTATTTGTACATAATTAGGGTTATTGTAACAACTTAGGCGATGCCTATATATTGAGAATTCATGAAGAGTCCTTTGAGGACATTCACACAAATAACACATTGAAAAGGATTACATCATGTACAAATCCCATCCTCATACGATTTGGAGTAAGAATCATGCAGTTGATGATAGCTTGTGGGAGGGAGATCAACATTTACAGGTTTAAGCTCAATTCGAAGTGAAATGTACCCTATGTTCTGTAAAATGTATAATCATCCACTATGATAAATTTATACTCTGGCATGAACTCCGAAATGCAGTCTAATTTTATTTTTCAACTTATATATAACTTTTTTTTTAAGGAAGCATAAGTTTTTCCCAAAATTTTCAGGCTCCAAGGGACACCTGATCTCTTCCCACTTCAATGCAGCACCCGAGTATTGCAATGCTCTCTCTCTTCTGTCAAATGATGATACCTTGGATTCAAGTGGACCAGAAAACATGTCACTACACGAAAACAGTAGCTCTATCGTGAATCAGCCTATGATGAACGCAATCCCAACAGGTGTGCCCCTCACATCTCCAGATTTCTGTCTGCTGGGCCATCAATTGGCTTATCCTCGTGCTCATCCATTCTTCTCAGACACTAACTTCCAGGAAAGCCAGCTTCTCGTAACTCAATATGAAGCTGAGTTATTTTCTAACATACTCAACTAACCATTTACAAGGCATTATGCTAAAACACTTCCAACACTTGGGCTTGTCTTAAAATTTTGAAGAATCGACATCGACAGATGGAATACTGTGGCTGTTCAGTGATGTTTGGGCAGTAAACTTTGTCGTTTTTTCCTTCCTTTTATTGGTACTAAATGAAGCTCACTTTTTATAAGCTCTGGAGGTCTATTCTATATGTCCCTTGTTGCCTGCACCAATCTTATGATTTTTTGGTGTTACTGAATAAGATTTTATAGGGCTTTGTGGAAGTTTTGAAAGCTTGTTGGCATAATTTTCTTTTCTTTTAATCAATATTCAACTGTCTACAGCATAATTTTCATCATCTTCAGTTTTGCCATTACTAAAATTTGCCTCACATAAGTGGCATAAAAAGAAGTTAGTGCGTACCTCCGATTTTGTAGCACCCAGTGATATGAACGTACGGAATAGACAGGTAAAACACAGGATCTTTGTCAACTATTACTATTTAATGAGTGCCTACGGACGTCAATTTAATTATTTTAAGCTAATTAAAGTTTAAATTTAATATATACATAAATTAGGATGAACTAATTACAATATGTAAAAAACTTTATACATTAGGGCTTCATTTACTTTGTGGGATGAGATATGACAGGATAATGAAGCTAACTTTACATGTTGTGCGGTGAGATATGACAGGATAATGAAGCTAACTTTACATGTCAGCAAATAGTCTCATGTTTATTTTGTGGGATAATTGTAAAAAATTGAAGATAGTGCGTGGGACCCGCATTGTAAAGAAGGGGGTAATTGTATTCGGCCTCCCCCACGGGATACATTTTATCAGCAAATTGAAGATAGTGCGTGGGACCCGCATGCTACATGAGTGCCAAATAAGATGAGTCCTATCCCTGTCATATAAAGTAAACAAAGGATATGTGCTGACAGATTTAGTTATCCTGTCCTATCACTGAAAGCAAACGAGGCCTAGATGTTTGTCTATGTTAGTCTTTTGACTCGTTTTCTAATACTAGTAAAGTGCACGTACAATGCACGTGATACATAATTTATATTTTAATGTGATTTTAAATTATATTTTCTCTTTTATATTTTTATGGTCTATTCAATTTTTTGCATTATTATCAATTAATCAAACACAAGAAGTACATTATATAATGGACAGTGTCAAATATACTGAAAGGTGAAGTACAATTTTCAAAATAATAATATTTAAAAGTAATAGTGAAAAAGATAACATAATGGTCATTTAATTTTTATTTTTAAAAATTAACCACGAGAAGTTACTTGAACTCCAAATTCACTAAACGTCTCAAGACAATGTCAATATCATAAAAAAACAAAAAGCAAGAAGAAAAACTGAAGTTAGATATCCATAAATTTATCAACTCATCAATTTCAACAAGAAAACGATTTTACTTCCACAAGATCACATCTTTAGCCGTAACTTTATGTAATCATATTGTAATCAAATAAAAAAAATTGATTGGTTCCAAGTATACAACAAGTAGCAAATCTAGCATTTCATCAAACACATAGAGCGCACCAATTACCATCTTCAGTTCATCAATACAATGCAAAAAAGAATACACAACAGACGAAATATAAACCAAGAGAGTAGAAGTCACCAGAAGAATAGGGCCGTGACTGCGTGAGCCGTGGACCGACTGCCACATGACAACATCCCGAGCCTGAACTCGATCCCATTCACCATGGATAACATGAGGAACAAGCAGCGCAAGACAGAACCCACGGGGGAGGACAGCATCCCGTGCCTCAACACACGGAGGTTGATGTTGGCCCAGAAGACCTCGTCCACGTCCTTGCTATTGAGCAAGTTGATGGCGAGATTGAGGTCCTGTGCCATGAGGGCGGAGAAAAGGAAGAAGCTGAAGGAGACGACCTCGAAGACGAGGAGCTTCCGGGCCACGTTGACGCCAGCGTTGACGGAGGGGTTCTCGAGACTGTGTTGGTTGAGCATGGTGAGGGAGAGGCCGATGAAGACGTCGTGGTGAAGAGGGAGTTGACGTTTATACGGTCACCGATGGCGGTGATGTGGACCTCGGTTGCTGAAGGGGAGGGCCCGCCGCGACGGAGGACGTGTGTAACTCCCCGTTTTATTTTAAGGAATTTATCGAATATATTTATAAAAATTAGAGCTAATTTTTCGCAAAATCTCAAATTAAAATTTAATTCTTAACGGGCGCTACTTATCTACCAAGAACAAATAAACAAAATACGAACACATAGATTTGACTTACCTGCATAAACACATACTCATATAAATTTAAACCAATTTATTTATTAAGTTCTAAAACCAACCAGAAAGTTAAACATAATTCCAAAAGTTCAACTCGACAATATCAATGTATCCAAATCAAAGCAGGAAATAATCAAAGTCAAAAGCAACAATTCAACAAATTCATAAATAGGCGGAAGCATAAGATAACGAGAACACAATCGACAAATGACCACCACTCGATTGTTTTCACGCCGCCACCGCCAGCCATGCTCAACCTGAAGAAAGGAAGAAGAGACAAGGAGAAATGTAATGGGGGTGAGCAAACCATTATGCTCACCATTATCGTACAGTATATCCCGCATAAAGATTCAAAACCATAATTAATGTATGCATAGAATCCAGGTTTAACTCCTTACTTGGCTCTATCGCAAACCTCCTATTTACATACAACAAACCTTCCGACCAGACATCGGCAAGGATGTAACTGGAAATCTTCCCACCCCGAACCACACACGGATCATGGGATCCTTTCCAGAAGACAGTGGAGCTGTTTTTTCCCCCCCGAAGAACACACGGATCAGGGCGTCCACCTCCCGAATCACATACGGGCCGACGAACTCTCACTGTTTATGCATTCGTCAGAGGCACTATCAATGGGACACCAAGACTAGGGTTCTCACGCAAACAGTAGCTATCAAGACAAACATTTATACGAAATAACGAGTGCGATAATTATAGATACAACGTAAATGTACCCACCTGAAAGCAACGATAAATCACAACACAAGACTCGAGAGGTAGAATTTGAGGTCAACACCTCGAAACACCTACACAAATTCAAGATAATATCTCGATTACAACTAATCCAACGATCACACAAACTTAGTCGAATTCGTCGACTAAGTGGCTCGTGGGAAATTCTCGTGAAATTATGGAACATTCGACTCGACTCAAACAAAAAAGGAAAAACACACAAAAAGGCCATCTCATGATATATTCAGCCACTTAACACGAAATTCACACCACTTATAAAATATGCAAAGAGGACATCATATATTAAAAATCATGCCAAAATTCAAAAGTTAACGTATTCAACCAATATTTAAAAAGTTTGACATGTAAATCACATTTTCTAGTTGAATAGGCAAATAGATGAATTTCGCTTTGAAAATTTAACACATGATACTTGCCCATGAATATATACACTTCACCAAATTTCAGCCATAACACATACACATGCGATTTTACAACATTAAAATAATATTTTAGCAAAAACGAGCATGAATTTAAAACCTGAACTAATGAATGATTTAAGTCGTGAAATTTTTACAGCAACCAATACAGCATGTGAGGATCAACATATAAAGTTTTCAGCTCCAAACATTTAACACACAATTTATAGCAGTAATTGCAAGGTTCAGCAGAAATCATGTTTTCATAAAAAATCTATCAAAATGAAATCAATAAAATCTGGGACTTTTATATCACATAATACATTATCAATTGAGCATATAAACTGAAATTCAACAATTTTCAGCAAAGGGTCGATTATTCATGATTTAAACAAGATTCAGCAGAAACTATCAAATAAGCATTCACCCTAGAAAATGGATTCCAAAAATTATGAAATTTATATAAAAAGACAAGATATATCAGAGGAACAACATATTAAAATTTCAACATCTTTGGGTAACAACTCGATTTATCACGAATTTCACAAACAATTGCAGCAACACCAAGTTCAAAAATTCATAACTCAAAATCTAGACTTCCAAATGACACAAGGTCAAAACCAACATCACCAGGACACTCATATGTTCCAGAATTCACAAGATTTCCACGATTACACATCAGATCATATGGGTTTCAAATTAAACCCTAAAGATCCAATTCATGAATATAAAAATAATACATATATCAACATTTTGATATCACAACACAAATAATACCATATATTCAGCCATGATACATATGAAACACATAATTTTTAATGGAGTTTAGTGGACTACCAAACACCAAGGGGAGAAGAAGACACGGGTGGGCTAGGGCTCGGTGCTCGACTTCTAAGGGCGGGGAAATCGTCCGCCTATGCTCGGCGTTGAAGGTGGCTCGCACGGCAAGGATGGCGTCTAGAGGTCCTCGGTGACTCGTGAACGTGTAAAGGACGTCGGATGTGAGAGGAAGGTGGCCGGAGGGTCAGTAGGTCGTGGTCGGGCTTGGCGTTCTCGTGGGGGATGCGCGGCTTCAGTGCGCGTGCGGACGGCAGCGAGGGTCGGGGTGCGTGCGATGGATCTCCGGCGTTTCGGCGAGCTTTTCCGACGAGAGGAAAGTGAGGGAGGGTGATGAGATGAGGACTGGAGTTTGGGGGAGAGAGGAGGAGGAAATGACGTGAGAAAAAGAAATGAAGGAGAAAGGGAAAAAAGCTTCCTTTTATCACCTAAGGAAAGTTGTAACCTCCCACATAAGAATCTGGTAAAATGGGGGATAAGGGCTGACTAGGTGGGAGTTTGAAATTCAAATCAAAAGCCATCTAGAAGGCTTGGTCGAGCGGGCCAAAGGGCCGGGCGGGAGCTTCATGTGACGGGCACGGGCTGCGGGCTGGGCGTTATGCGGATGCGGGCTTAGCGCGGGTTGAGGCCCGTTGCTCGGGTGCACGTTCAACTCAAAATCCCGACTAGGCTCGATTATTTGGTTCGATTGACAATTATAAATAATTTACGTTTGGGCTCGATATTAAAAATTTACTCAACAGAACAATTAGACAATTACGAGCACATAATCACATTCAAAATTAATAATTGAGCATGAATAAAATAAATCCGAGTAAATAAAATAAAATACCGATCAATAAATAATCCGAACAACGGATTAAATTTGGTTTTACGCGATTAAACCGAAATCGCCGAACGACGAACGTTTTAAAATAAAACGATTGAGTACTTAAACCCATAATTTAAGTAGATATCGCGACCAAAAATATAAATATAATCTCATGAATAACACTCGATAAATAGAATAATATGCGAAATTCTATAAATCGAACGGGACGCTACAAGGTGCATCGGGGTGGCGGCGTAAACGGGTGCTTCGGCTAAACATCAGATTCATCCATGGAACACTAAATAGGGTGTTGTAGATGGGAAAATAGGGTGCTAAGATTTGTGGATTTGCTCATTCGGGTTGCAGAAGCTTTGTTTTTATTTTATTATTTTTTTCATGGAGATGAAGGGAAGGAGACGAAGGAAAAATGGTTGCTTTTGCTTGGGGATATTTTGGTCATTTAATTGGCCCAATGTCTCTTAACACATATAGTTTTCTTGTGTCGGTTTGCTGATTAATTTAAAAATGAGAAATCTTTTGACGAAGAATTGAAGGTGGAACTATGGGTGCAAATCCATAAACTACCACTGCATTGGATATCTGAGGAAACAGGAACAAAGATTGGGCGCATTTTTGATGAGGTTCTTGATGCTGTGATACCAGGGCTGCAGGTTACAATAGAAACATGGTCAGAATTCTTGTGGCAGTAAATTTATTGGAACCTATCCCCAGAGGCACAAAAATAAAGTTGGGTAAGGAGGAGCAGTGGGTGGAATTCAGGTATGAACACCTCCTCACTTTTTGCTTTTATTGTGGGTGCATAGGTCACCATGATAGAATATGTGAAGTGAAGAAATCTGACATTAAGAGAAATGTGTTGAAATCTGGGCAATTTGAGGAGTGGTTAAGAGGATCTTTTGGGGGGTTTTATGAACCTAGAGAGAGGAGGTCTTCAAGTCCCCTGAGTGAGAGGGCCAAGTCAGGGTCTAGTAAGGCTAGAGCAACTGTAGGAGGGGAGATGCAGCCCAGGGTTACACCTGGTATCATTGAGCCCCAGCAGTTTGCAGAGCCTGTGATGGGAGGGAGTGACAAATCCAAAGGGGTAGAACAGGGTAGTAAGAGTTTAGAGGTAGTTAGTAGCAACAATGAGTTGGAAAGTTCAAAGGGCAAGGATATGGGTGATAAAAAGCTAGCTTCTAGTTCTTTTGTACCTATGGACCTTGATGGTTCCAAGGCACAGGAATTGGATTTTAGTAACCTTGTTAATGTCCCTGTTGGCCAAATTCAACAACAGGTCCCTGTTTCTAAGAGCCAGAAGTCTTTTGTTAGAATTACTAAGAGCAAAATTGTTGAGTCTAAGAATAATACATCTGATAAGCAGGTAGCCTTCTGTGAAGCCCAAAGTGATAACGCCAATTTGAAATGGAAAACCATAATTGATCCTCGTCTGATATGGTTATTCAAGAATCATTTTCCAAAAAACTCAAGCAGAATGTGTCTAGCAGTGACTTGAAGGTGGAGGCAGCCAGCCATAATTGGGCCCAAAGTTCCAAATAAGAGCTTTGGTGTGGAATTGTAGAGGTTTGGGAGGACTCTCTACAATTCCCCAGTTGAAGGCTAACCTTAGGGCCTATCTCCCAGATTTTTTTTTTCTTTGTCTGAAACTAAAAAAAAAAAATATTTTGTTAAAACTGTTTGTAAAAGCCTAAATATGGCTGATAGATGGGTTTATGTAGACCCTATAGGATCTTGAGGTGGTTTTTTGTTGGGCTGGTCTATGAATGTGTACATTGTGCATTGTGTTTCTTCTGATTTCAATATTGAGGTTGGGTTTAGGTGGAAAGGGGGGACTAAGGTTTGGTGGGCTATTTTTGTATATGCCAGTGTGTTACATATTGAGAGACAGTCCCAATGGGACCTCTTAGGTCAACATTAGCATAAATGGGGTAAGATGTGGTTTGTTACTAGGGACTTTAATGATATTTTGAATAATGATGAGAAGAGAGGGGGTGTGCTGAGAGGGGAAGCTAGTTTCAAAGGTTTTAGGGATTTTGTGTCTGCTCTGAATGGGATTAAGTGTCCTAGTGTAGGACACCCTTTCACATGGTCAAATAACAGGAGAGGGAAGGACTTTGTTGAAGTTAAGCTTGATAGAATTCTCATTTCCCCTGAGTGGTTTCTCTCATTTCCAAATCCCCTAGTTCAACACATCTCTCAAGTTTCTTCTGATCACTGTATTCTACTCATGGATACAGAAGGACCTGGTAAAAGCAAAAAGAAATGGTTCATTTTTTACAATATATGGGTGAAGGAGGAGGGGTACATTGACTATCTCCACAAGGCCTGGGCTACAAATGTGAATGGCACTAGGGTTTATAAGTTCAAGAGAAAGTTGAGAAGTGTCCAAATGGGCCTTCTTGGATGGCTAGCTGGGAAAGGTACAAACTCTGCTCATACTATAAAATCCTGCAATGCCAAACTCGAGATGGTGGGACAACAAGGGGAACAGAGGGATTGGGATGAATGGGTTCAATGCAAACAACAACTTCACCAAGCTTATAAGGATGAAGAGATATTTTGAAAACAGAAGGCAAGGGTTAGATGGTTGAAAGAAGGTGATTGTAATATAAGGTTTTTCCAGGCATGTGTCAGTCAAAGAAGGGATAGGGATAGTTTGGAGCAGGTGGTAAATACATGGGGAAAAAAATGTGAGAATGATGCAAACTACCTGGCAGAGATATCTGATTTTTTTGAGCAACTATTTACAACTCAGAACCCCAACTTTGATCCAGCAATGTTGCAAGGCATTCCAAAGTCTATCACCCCTGCTATGAACCAGAGACTCACTAGGACTGTGGTAGAGGAAGAGATCAAAGCAGCCTTTGTGGGAGATGGATCCACACAAGGCACTAGGTATAGATGGTTTTTCACCTATGTTTTTTCAATCCTCATGGCATATCATTAAGTATGACCTTATCAGTGCCATATCAAATTTTTTTCCATTCTGGATGCATTCCAAAGGCCACAAACCATATAGTTATAACTCTTATTCCTAAAATCAAATTCCCTCAGAGAGTTACAGATTATAGGCCTATTAGTCTTTGCACCATCACCTATAGATTGGTAGCTAAAATCTTAGCCAATAGAATTAAATTTGTTCTTCATTTCTGCATATCCCAATCTCAAGCAGCTTTTGTCCCAAGTAGAATGATTTTAGACAATGTCATTATAGCCAATGAGTGCATTCATGCTTTAAACAGTAGGAAAAAAGGAAAAAAGTGTGTCATGGCAAAAGCATATGACAGGGTTGAGTGGGGTTTTTTGATTAGAGTTTGTAGACACATGGGCTTCAGTGAATCTTTTTTGATTTGGATTTGGTCATGCATTAGTTCATCATCCTTTTCTTTCAATATAAATGGCAAAATTCAGGGAAATGTTACTCCTTCCAGAGGTTTGAGACAAGGGGATCCCTTATCCCCTTACCTCTTCATCATCTTGTCTGAAGTATTGTCAAATCTGATACACCAAGCCTGTCTTGCTAAGTATTTTAAGGGTCTTAAGGTCAATTTTCATGCTGCCACTGTGTCTCACCTGTTTTTTGCTGATGACTCACTTTTTTTTTGTCAGACAGACACACATCATGCATCTCTTGTGCTTCAAATCCTTAATACATATTGTCATCCATTTGGTTAATTTGTCAACTTGTCTAAGTCTACTATTTTCTTTTCTTGGAACACTCCTGATCTTGTCAGAATGGCTATTTGTCAAACTCTGAATGGAATTGTGGTGGCTAGGAACTCTAAGTATCTGGGACTTCCTATGGGGATTGGAAAAAATAAGAGGGACACTTTTGCTTTTGTGAGGGAGTGTGTAGTGGCTAGGGTTACAAATTGGAAGAATTCTTTTTTGAGTGAGGCAGGGAGAGAGGTCCTTGTTAAATCAATACTGAGTGCTCTTCATGTCTACGTTATGTCTTTGATTAGAGTGCCAATCAGTATTTGTAGGGAGTTGTGTAGAGAGATTGCTGGATTTTGGTGGCGGAAAAATGAGGAGGGGGGGAGGGGGGGTCAAAAAATCCATTGAGCTCAGTGGGGTGTGTTAGCTAAATCTAAGGGGAGGGTGGTCTGGGTTTTAGGGATTTAGTGGACTTCAATGAAGCTTTAATTATGAAGCAGTTGTGGAGGGTTCTGATTAAGCCTAACACTCTTATGAGTAGGCCGATTAGGGGTAAGTACCTATATAATCAGAACCTATGGGAGGTTAAGAAGAGAGATAGTAACTCGTGGATGTAGAAGAGTTGGTTGAGGGCTAGAAAATTTCTTAAGTTAGGGTATAGGTACCATGTGGGTGATGGTAAGACAATAGATGTGTGGAACAGTCCTTGGGTGCCTGGTTCTGTATTATTTAAACCTGTATGTTGTTTTGAAGGAGATAAGAATAGGTTATGTAAAGTTTCTGATCTCATGACTGTAGATGGCAGGGAGTGGACACTGAATTGATATTGCAGACCTTCACTCATGGTGATGCTGCCAATATTACTAAAATCCATATCAGTCATTTTGGAATGAGAGACAGAATCATCTGGCATTTGGACAAAAAAAGGTACATTCTCATTTAAGAGTGCTTATAAGATGATACAGAAAGTAAAGAGAGGATAATCTCAGAAACCAGAATCCAGTAGGGCTTCAGAACAGAAGAAGACGTTGTGGAGAAAGACTTGGAGTATGCCAACCAAACCCAAGATTAGAAATTTTATCTGGAGATGCTACCACAATTGGCTGACAACAATGGATAATTTGAAGAAGAAGGGTGTGAGGGATGATGCCATCTACTGCTGGTGTGGAGAAGGTGAGGAGACTCTAGACCACCTATTTTTCCACTGTGATAGAGCTCAAAGAGTTTGCAAAATAGCAGGCTTGCAGTGGTCTGGTATTCAGAACACATCAGGAGACTTTAAGTCTTGGTGGCAGGAGGCATGTGAACTGACAGAGGAGGACCATAACAAGGATAGAATCTCCTTATCTACTTACTTGTTATGGTGGCTCTGGAAGACTAGGAACAACTGGATATTTCAGAAGGCTCATAGCTTGGAGGTTGATGTGGTGAAAGAGGCTAAGCTGGAATGGTTGGAATATGCAGATATCAAAGGGAGCAGTGGTGATGGGAGAACAACATCAAGGTTAGGAGAAGGCTGCCAGGATCCAGGTGTTGAACAAGGAGTAGGGTTGACTGGTCTGTCAACCAGTGCTACATCCCTACATACTGGTGATGATAGGGTAAGGAGACAAACTAGGGAGATGGCTTCAGAAGTTCATAGATGGCAATACTCTGGGATGGTGGCAGATGCTATCCAGTGGAGGATATGCTAGTGAAACTGCGGAGATGGCTGGAAGATGGTTTGGTCAGAGGATGGAAAACGGTAGAGATCCACATTTAGAACAAACAGTTAATCAGACTGTTGCATGCTAGAGAGGGCTTTGACTCTAGTGTTGTTGTCTTGGCCGCTGATGTGTTTTATTGTTTTGATTTGATGGAATCTATACTTTTAGTCTAGCTCCCTTTTGATGTTGGAATGTGCAGGATGTTGCTGTGTTTTTCTGTTTTGCTGGGTAGTTGTGTTGCTGTTTTTAGGTTTCTTTGGATGCAGTTTTTGTACTTGTGTCTGTAGTGTTGTTTGCTGTTTTTGGTGGTGTTGGTTTTAGAGGCCGTGTTGGGTCTGGTAGGGTAGTCCATGTGGATATCTCCATTGTGTAGGCGCTGAACTAAATGACTCTGTTTAGGTTGGTGTCCTCATCGGAACCCGTTGGTTGGTCGATTCTGTACTTATTTCGAGTGCTAATTAAAATTTCATTTGATGTTGGAAAAAAAAAAATGAGAAATCTCAAAATTGGTCCCATAAATGTGTTGTAAAGTAGATGTTTCAGGCATAATATTTTTCAAACTAGTGTGCATCCCGTGCGATGTACGGACGAGCTTGTTAAATAAACCTTTTTTAAAATTGTATATTAAACATAATTATTTATATTTAACATTTCATTATTGCAAGAAAAAACTACAAAATATGAAGAATTATATATTATTTATTTGAATATAATGAGTGTTCCCAACCAAACCAATAACATCCAACGCATGATATATGATAAAATTAATTATATGAATCGTCATGATTTACATATATATATAGAGTTGGGATCATACGAAAATGGTAGATAATGAAAGAAATGAGAATGATTTTACAACATTAGATTCATAACATCAATGGCCACAATGAAGTCAAAATTAATTAACCTGGTCAAACAAAGATGGTAAAATCGTAAATAAACTCAAACTTTTTGGTCAAAGTTATACCATTAAAGGACACTAGTTTTGTATTTTCCTCCCACCCACTCAGTGGGGCCCACCACAATCAAACACACACACACACTACATATCATACACGCACACACACAAACCGCCCCCGACCGCCCGACGCACGCAGAGGACTCAGCTGTGACCTCATCTGGCCGCCGACCGTCGGCTGCCAACCGCCGTTACTTCACCGTCGGCCGCCGTCCTATTCTAACCCCTCCGTCAATCTTACATCAAGCCCGCCGCCGGACGTCTACCAAACAGCCGTCTCCTCCACCAATCGCGCACCCTCCTCCGTTCTCAGCCAGAGCTTCGCCGTCCGCCAGATCAACTATGTCTTCCATCTCCTCCATCGCATTGCCTATCCCTTCCGTCCACAGCGATTTTTTCGCCGGAAATACCTATGAAATCGAGAGCATTTTTATGCAATTCAACCTTTGATGACCTGTTCTTGAAATCGGGGCTCACATAGGTCGTGATGTTGATTGTCGACGACGACGCGGCTCTCAGGTGACGGCGACGCCGACCTGTGCGTCCGGGGTCGCTGGGAGATATTGTATATCTCTAGGGGTTTGGTTTTGAGAATTTGATTATATATAGGGACTTGATTGCAATTATATAATTTTTTATTATATTACAATCCATGCCATGGGGTAAATGTGTGATTAATGAAAATATAGTTATATTTAATATTTGTACTTAATGTATAAAATATATAAAAAATAATAATATTATTTTTATATAATTTTTTCGTTTCGGTGATTTTGGATATTTTAAAGAACAAACCCGACAACGGATTTAAATAATTGTGGTTTTAATAATAAATCCAAATAATTGAACCGAAAATTTTAGTTCGGCTAATATTATGCAACCTAATGACCATTAATATGCAATTCGTATAGTCTTAATGTGCACTCACAAAACAAAAAAAAAATATATATATATATATAAACAACAAAATTATACTATTTTCTTATATAATTCGATTGGTTTGGTTATTTCTTTACTTTTAAAAATTAGAGCTGACATCGATACGAAATAATTATGATTTTTAAAGTAAACATGTAATCGAATTGAAATATAAGACTTTAAACTAAAAAATTTAATTTGATAGGGTTCGATATCGATAGTGCAACCAGATAGCCGTTAGTGTGCAATTCACCTATCATTATTGTGCACTTTCAACGCCAACATTTTTAATGCTTTATTCCAAGTAAAAAAAAAAGAATGAAAAGTGAAGTCAAATAATCAGTTAATTCGATCAATTAACCGAATTACACTAAAAATTTTAGTTCGGCTAATATTGTGCAACCTAATGATCATTAATGTGCAATTCGTATAGTCCTAATAAGCACTCACAAAACAAAACAAAAAAATATAAACAACAAAATTATACTATTTTTTATATAATTCGATCGATTTGGTTATTTCTTTACTTTTAAAAATTAGAGCTGACATCTATACGAAATAATTGTGATTTTTAAAGTAAACATGTAATCGAATTGAAATATAAGACTTTACACTAAAAAATTTAATTTGATAGGGTTCGATATCTATAGTGCAACCGGATAGCCGTTAGTGTACAATTCACTTATCATTATTGTGCACTTTCAACGCCAAAAAACAAATGACGTGAGAAAAAGAAATGATATCTATAGGACTGGAGTTTGAGGGAGAGAGGAGGAGGAAATAACGTGAGAAAAAGAAATGAGGGAGAGAGGGAAAAAAGCTTCCCTTTATCACCTAAGGAAAGTTGTAGCCTCCCACATAAGAATTTGGTCAAAGGCATAAAATGGGGAATAAGGGCTGACTTGGTGGGAGTTTGAAATTCAAATCAAAAGCCATCTAGAAGGCTTGGTCGAGCGGGCCAAAGGGCCGGGCGGGAGCCTGATGTGACGGGCACGGGCCGCGGGTTGGGCGTTATGCGGATGCGGGCTTAGCGCGGGTTGAGGCCCGTTGCTCGGGTGCGCGTTCGGTTCAAAATCCCGACTAGGCTCGATTATTCGGTTCGATCGACAATTATAAATAATTTACGTTTCGGCTCGATATTAAAAATTTACTCAATAAAACAATTAGACAATTACGAGCACATAACCACATTCAAAATAAATAATTGAGCACGAATAAGATAAATCCTGGTAAATAAAATAAAATACCGATCAATAAATAATCCGAACAAGTCCATAAATCGAACGGATTAAATTTGGTTTTACGCGATTAAACTGAAATCGCCGAACGGCGAACGTTTTAAAAATAAAGCGATTGAGTACTTAAACCCATAATTTCAGTAGATATCGCGACCAAAAATATAAATATAATCTCATGAATAACACTCGATAAATAGAATAATCTGCGAAATTCTATAAATCGAACGATACAAGGTGCATCGGGGTGGCGGTGTAAATGGGTGCTTCGGCTAAACATCAGATTCATCCATGGAACACTGAACAGGGTGTTGTAGATGGGAAAATAGGGTGCTAAGATTTGTGGGATTTGCTCATTCGGGTTGCAGAAGCTTTGTTTTTATTTTTTTATTTTTTTCATGGAGATGAAGGGAAGGAGACGAAGGAAAAATGGTTGCTTTTGCTTGGGGATTTTTTGGTCATTTAATTGGCCCAATGTCTCTTAACACATATAGTTTTCTTGTGTCCGTTTGTTGATTAATTTAAAAATGAGAAATCTTTTGACGAAGAATTGAAGGTGGAACTATGGATCCAAATCCATAAACTACCACTGCATTGGATATTTGAGGAAACAGGAAAAAAGATTGGGCGCATTTTTGATGAGGTTCTTGATGTTGTGATACCGGGGGATGCAGGTTACAATAGGAACATGGTCAGAATTCTTGTGGCACTAAATTTATTGGAACCTATCCCCAGAGGCACAAAAATAAAGTTGGGCAAGGAGGAGCAGTGGGTGGAATTCAGGTATGAACACCTCCTCACTTTTTGCTTTTACTGTGGGTGCATAGGTCACCATGATAGAATATGTGAAGTGAAGAAATCTGACATTAAGAGAAAGTTGAAATCTGGGCAATTTAGAGAGTGGTTAAGGGGATCTTTTGGGGGGTTTTCTGAACCTAGAGAGAGGAATTCTTCAAGTCCCCTGAGTGAGAGGGCCAAGTTAGAGTCTAGTAAGGCTAGAGCAACTGTGGGAGGGGAGATGCAGCCTAGGGTTACACCTGGTATCATTGAGCCCCAGCAGTTTGCAGAGCCTGTGATGGGAGGGAGTGACAAATCCAAAGGGGTAGAAGAGGGTAGTAAGAGTTTAGAGGTAGTTAGTAGCAACAATGAGTTGGAAAGTTCAAAGGGCAAGGATATGGGTGATAAAAAGCTAGCTTCTAGTTCTTTGGTACCTATGGACCTTAATGGTTCCAAGGCACAGGAATTGGATTTTAGTAACCTTGTTAATGTCCCTGTTGGCCAAATTCAACAACAGGTCCCTGCTCCTAAGAGCCAGAAGTCTTTTGTTAGAATTACTAAGAGCAAAATTGTTGAGTCTAAGAATAATACATCTGATAAGCAGATAGCCTTTTGTGAACCCCAAAGTGATAAGGCCAATTTGAAATGGAAAACCATAATTGATCCTCAGGAGTCTGATCTGGTTATTCAAGAATCATTTTCCAGAAAACTCAAGCAGAATGTGTCTAGCAGTGACTTGAAGGTGGAGGCAGCCAGCCATAACTGGGCCCAATGTTCCAAATGAGAGCTTTGGTGTGGAATTGTAGAGGTTTGGGAGGACCATCTACAATTCTCCAGTTTATGGCTAACCTTAGGGCCTATCTCCCAGATTTTGTTTTTTTTTTGTCTGAAACTAAAAAAAAAAATTATTTTGTTAAAATTGTTTGTAAGAACCTAAATATGGGTGATAGATGGGTTTATGTAGACCCTATAGGATCTTGAGGTGGTATTTTGTTGGACTGGTCTATGAATGTGGACATTGTGCATTGTGTTTGTTCTGATTTCCATATTGAGGTTGGGTTTAGATGGAAAGGGGGGACTGAGGTTTGGTGGCTATTTTTGTATATGCCAGTGTGTTACATATTGAGAGACAGTCCCAATGGGACCTCTTAGGTCAACATTAGCATAAATGGGGTAAGATGTGGTTTGTTGCTGGGGACTTTAATGATATTTTGAATAATGATGAGAATAGAGGGGGTGTGCTGAGAGGGGAAGCTAGTTTCAAAGGTTTTAGGGATTTTGTGTCTGCTCTGAATGGGATTGAGTGTCCTAGTGTAGGACACCCTTTCACATGGTCAAATAACAGGAGAGGGAAGGACTTTGTTGAAGTTAAGCTTGATAGAATTCTCCTCTCCTCTGAGTGGTTTCTCTCATTTCCAAATCCCCTAGTTCAACACATCTCTCAAGTTTCTTCTGATCACTGTATTCTACTCATGGATACAGAAGGACCTGGTAAAAGCAAAAAGAAAAGGTTCATATTTTACAGTATATGGGTGAAGGAAGAGGGGTACATTGACTGTCTCCACAAGGCCTGGGCAACAAATGTGAATGGCACTGCGGTTTATAAGTTCAAGAGAAAGTTGAGAAGTGTCAAAATGGGCCTTCTTGGATGGCTAGCTGGGAAAGGTACAAACTCTGCTCATACTATAAAATCCTGCAATGCCAAACTCGAGATGATGGGACAACAAGGGGAACGGAGGGATTGGGATGAATGGGTTCAATGCAAACAACAACTTCACCAAGCTTATAAGGATGAGTGGATATTTTGAAAACAGAAGGCAAGGGTTAGATGGTTGAAATAAGGTGATAGTAATACAAGGTTTTTCCAGGCATGTGTTAGTCAAAGAAGGGGTAGGAATAGTTTGGAGCAGGTGGTAAATAGGTTGGGAAAAAGATGTGAGAATGATGCAAACTACCTGGCAGAGATATCTGATTTCTTTGAGCAACTATTTACAACTCAGAACCCCAACTTTGATCCAGCAGTGTTGCAAGGCATTCCAAAGTCTATCACCCCTGCTATGAACCAGAGACTCACTAGCACAGTGGTAGAGGAAGAGATCAAAGCAGCCTTGTGGGAGATGGATCCACACAAGGCACCAGGTATAGATGGTTTTTCACCTATGTTTTTTCAATCCTCATGGCATATCATTAAGTATGACCTTATCAGTGCCATATCAAATTTTTTCCATTTTGGATGCATTCCAAAGGCCACAAACCATATAGTTATAACTCTTATTCCTAAAATCAAATTCCCTCAGAGAGTTACAGATTATAGGCCTATTAGTTTTTGCACCATCACCTATAGATTGATAGCTAAAATCTTAGCCAATAGAATTAAATCTGTTCTTCATGTCTGCATATCCCAATCTCAAGCAGCTTTTGTCCCAAGTAGAATGATTTTAGGCAATGTCATTATAGCAAATGAGTGCATTCATGCTTTAAACAATAGGGAAAAAGGAAAAAAGTGTGTCATGGCAAAAGCATATGACAGGGTTGAGTGGGGGGTTTTTTATTAGGGTTTGTAGACACATGTGCTTCAGTGAATCTTTTTTTATTTGGATTTGTTCATGCATTAGTTCATCATCATTTTCTTTCAATATAAATGGCCAAATTCAGGGAAATGTTACTCCTTCCAAAGGTTTGAGACAAGGGGATCCCTTATCCCCTTACCTCTTCATCATCTTGTCTGAAGTATTGTCAAATCTGATACACCAAGCCTGTCTTGCTAAGTCTTTTATGTTGGGATCTGTGAAGATCTCGTTATGTTCAAATCACGAATTCAATAGCAAACGTAAACCTTTGCGCATCGGATCTAAAGGTTTGACGTAGAGAACTTACGACTTAAAATTTATGTAGATCTAGTTGATCACGAACGGTTGACCGCAACTCACATCTTGGGTTGCACGAACAAGATCAGATCAAAATCGGATCAAACGGATGCAAACAGATCAAAACGAAACTTTGCAGCCTGGGAGCTTTCGGCGGCGCGTGAGGGCGCGTGCGGCGTCGGACGGCTGATATCTTGTCGGCGATGGAAAGGACTCGTTGAGACGGTCGGCTGGGTCCGGTTAGTTCTGTAGGTCAAAATATATTTCGTCTCGGTTTACCTATAGATCTTCTACTGTAGTAATACACCCTTCTTCTACTTGTACCAGTGGAGCAACAAGAAGAAGATAAAGCTCGAATGAGATCTAAAGAGAGAGAGAGGCGTGGGGCGTGTCTCGTTAGAATGAGATTGGGATTCTCTTCTCATGAGCTTAATGATGTATATATAGAGCTACAGTAGGGACCCTTAGGAGATTAGGAAAAGGGCTCCTTAATTAATTAGACTAACTGTGGGCCAAGCCTACTCCTCTAATTAATTAAATAATATTAATGGGCCACCAACATTATATTACTGCACTCCCTTTTCCTAGCCCAATTTACATTTGAGACTCCAATAATAATTACTCGATTTATCTCCCCACGTTTAAGATATAATGTCCATTAATTAATTCGATTACTGACAATCAAGAATTAATTAATATATTATTATTTCACCGAAGCTAGCGCTCGTTCATCACATTCTTATTATGCCGGAACTTAATCCACCTGCAGGGTTTAGCATAACAATCCTTCATGAACTCACTCCGGGGACATCATCAAACTAACGCACATGGTGACCGTAAATATCCTAACAACACATCCTATATATAATAATATTACCCAAAACAGTAGGAATATTAATCCAGCAAACTGTACCTCACCCATGTGAATCAAAGTAATATATATTATATATATCTGCCTGTTTAATATCTTACGGGTTAAGAGAACGCAGTAATTAACCGAGGCCTAGTTCATTTACGACGATCAGTATAAAATGAACTTCTCCTCTCTAGGATCCTGTTCAATACATAAATGTACTATTGCAACAAATCAGTCAAGACAAACTGTACAGTTGACACTACAACCGTTCGGATGGGGTGTTCATGTCCATCTAGGTTGTGAACAACTATTCTTGTTCGCAAGTGACTGATAGAGTGATATTCAGTTCGCCCGATGACGACCCACCCTATCTAAGTGCAGAACAACAGAACGTAGAACTTGTTTAATCTAACATGATTCTCATTCATAAAGGGTAAATGTGTACTAACATGCAAAGCCAAGCTTTCAGTATATAACACTAACAATCTCCCACTTATACTTAAAGCTTTCGCTTTTACAGTATAGTCCTATCAATCCGTTATTCTAAAAGACCTATGTCGATCCTATTGCCATGCTCATGACTCCCATTCCTTCCACGTGTTTGACGAAGACCTTTTCTGGCAAACTCTTCGTGAAAGGATCAGCTAGGTTGTCCTCTGACGAAATATTGGCAACATCAACGTCTCCTCTACCAACGATATCCCGAATCAGATGGTATTTGCGCTCTATGTGTTTGCTTGCCCTGCGGGCTCGAGGTTCTTTTGAGTTCGCTACTGCTCCACTGTTATCACAGTACACAGTGATACCACGTGGCAAACTCGGTATAACCTCTAAGTCCACTAAGAAGTTCCTGAGCCAAACTGCCTCTTTCGCTGCCTCTGAGGCTGCTATGTACTCGGCTTCCATGGTGGAGTCTGCCACGCATTTCTGCTTAGCACTCCTTCATGAAATGGCTCCACTTCCCAAGGTAAACACATAACCTGAGGTTGACTTACTTTCATCCCTATCTGACTGGAAATCAGAATCACTGTAACCCAGAGGTAACAAGCTGTCTGCACGGTAAACTAACATGTACTCCTTAGTCCTTCTCAGGTACTTGAGTATATGCTTCACCGCAGACCAATGTTCCCGTCCTGGATTACTTTGATATCTAGCTACCATGCCAACGGCGTAGCTAATATCCGGCCTTGTGCATAGCATTGCATACATGAGACTTCCTACTGCCGAAGCATAAGGAACTGTCTTCATCTCCTCTATCTCCTTAGACGTCTTAGGAGACATCTCCTTAGATAAAGGTATTCCATGTCTAAAAGGTAACATACCTTTCTTGGAATCCTGCATGCTAAATCTGGCCAAGACAGTATCTATGTATGAAGACTGGGATAAGCACAACATTCTCTTCTTACGATCTCTAATGAGCCTAATACCAAGAATGTGTCCTGCTTCACCTAAGTCCTTCATATCAAACTGCTTAGACAACCACACCTTTACGTCTGATAACTCCTTCTTACTGTTTCCAATAAGCAGTATGTCATCTACGTAAAGCACAAGAAACACCACCACGCTCCCACTGATTTTCTTGTAAACACAATGCTCATCCGGACATTGAGTGAACCCGTACGACTGGATCACCTCATCAAAACGGATGTTCCAAGATCTCGAAGCTTGCTTCAGTCCATAAATAGACCGATTAAGCTTACACACTAGATGCTCACGACCTTCAGCAATGAATCCCTCTGGTTGCTGCATATAGATGTCTTCTTGCAGGTTCCCATTAAGGAAAGCTGTCTTGACATCCATCTGCCAGACCTCATAGTCCATATGAGCGGCTACAGCCAAGAGAATCCGAATGGACTTAAGCATAGCTACTGGCGAAAAGGTCTCATCATAATCAATACCCTCGATCTGGGTATAACCTTTTGCAACAAGCCTAGCTTTAAAGGTTTG